AGAAAACACTATATATATATATATATATATACATATATATTTAAACGGTGCTTATTTTCAGCATTGATTTACTTAAAGATACATTTGTTAATTTAATTTAAGATTTATTGATGTATTTCAATACTTTTATAAATATATTGTTACCTACAGTCTCATTTTTACATATATGAGCCATGCAGGAATAATTTAATCACCATTAGCAGAACTTTAAGGTTTTACACTTGAGTCAAAATGAACTAACTGTTAAAAATGTCATATGTAATGAGAAGCAGAAGCTTTATTGGATGGAAATTTCATTATTTAACTCAGTGAACGTGCCTCTAATTCTACATTATCTCTAAGTATTTGTCAGACAATATTAGACATTTCAATTTATATAACATTCTTGGTTTGTGCCAAAATAGAATGTGCTCAGAAATTAAGAACCATTTATGTAAAAAAAAAAAAAAAAGAAGGTGCAGTGTAAAAACTTAGACAAACATCATGTGACATCAGCCATCTACTGCTACTACAGAAATATGCAATGCATGTGTTTGCTCTGATGGGTTTTACCACTGTAAATGATGTCAATGATTCTCCCTGGAACTCTTGTTACGAAATTTTCTTGGGTTTTGTTCTTAAGAGAAATCCAAACAATGCTGGTAACTTTCCTCCTAGAAAGGAATGGGTGTGGAAAGGAATAAACCAACCTTTCTTTGCGACTTCATATTATCTTGCATTTCCAGGAACTCGTGTTGTAATAGAGTGGTAACAGAGGTTTCAGGAAGAGAGTCGTTGGCTTACTTTTGAAGCCATAAAACGATATAGCAACTTCTAAAAACTGCAGAAACCAAGTGAACAAAATGGTAAGGAGGAAGAGGTGGCCTAGTGGTTAGAGCACTGCAGTTGTGCTCTGAGGTTGGAAGGACCCGTTTCAATCCACACAGCCTTTACTCTGGGTCCTTGAGCAAGACCCTTAACCCATGATTGCTCTCCAGGCACTGCACAGTGGCAGCCCACTGCTCCCCAAGGGGATGGGTTAAGATGCAGAAGTGAATATCTCCATTGTGAGATCAATTATGTTCAATTACTATTGTTTTGTCTCAACCTACAAAACAATGGCAAAAGACTAAAACAGTGAGAAGTGGATACCAGGTTTGTAGTATCAGGCTCCATAATAATAATGTAAGCCTCCTATGATTAATAATGGACGCTACTGTTGTGCCATGTGTTACAACCCCCTGTTGGTCTAGGGGAGTGGGGGCATAAACATATAGGCAGAAACAGGTAAGTTCTTATAAAATTATAATTTATTTGATAACAAGAGGTCCAAGCAATAAACAAACAAAAGGATGAGGGTGATGTGTAAAAAAAAATAAATAAAAGAGATCCTCAAAAGGAGGATCGTGCCTAACAGGGTGTTTAAGGTGGACGACGAGAGTTCCGGTGGTACAGAGGAGTTTGTCTTACCTGAATCTGTAAGGTGTAGGGTTGAGATTGAGAAGGAAGTCAGACAGACCCTCCTCCACCAACCTTCTCCAATGATTGTCCCAATGATTGTTTATTTGTTCCAGATGTTCTGAGAGGAAAGGTCTTGGAATTCTGTCATGGTCCTCGTCTTTTTTGTCATCCTGGTGTTATTAAGACCATCAACATTGTTCAGACTAAGTTTTGGTGGCCTTCTCTGTCTGCAGATGTATGGGAGTTTGTGGCAGCTTGTGCCCTTTGCAATCATTCCAAGACATCTAATAGACCTCCATCTTGTTTTCTCCGTTCGCTAGCTATTCCTCTTGTCCTTGATCCAAACTAGCCATGGACTTCATTACCGGGTCACCTTTGCTTTGGTTCTGCTTTAATTGCTTTAACTCTGCCCGGTTGCTCATTACTACTTATTTAATCCACCTGTTTCAAGCTCCTATTAATGCTGCCAGTTTTCCAGCCCCTATTACACCATTATAAGAGCTTAGGGTGAGAGGTATCTGCCGTATCTGTATTGTTGTTTGACTGCGTGATTCTGACTTGTTTTGCCCCTGTGGTTTTGGTCTGCCCCTATTTCGCTCTGTTTCTGCCTGTTTGTACTCTGCCTGTTAATGACCTTGTATCTGTCCCCTGACCATGGCTTGGATTATCCCCTTGGTACCTCTGCATCTCTCTGATCTTCTGGTCTGGACCCGTTACCTGCTCTGGATTCTGCCTCTGGATCATCCTGCTCTTCAGTGTCTGCTATTGTTTGCTCTGCTCCTGGAACTCTCTGTGCAGCTCCCACTGCATATTGTGGAGATGTCACCGGTCTGGCTCCAAATCCTTCCTCTGGACACGGACTGCACTTATTTCCAGGTTAGTGATTCACATGCTTATTATTCCCCGTCTGAGCCTAGTGATCACTAACTTGTGAGTCGGTCTCTACAGAGAATCCAGCAAGCCGGTCCCAGTCGACGCCTTGTGATTACTCTGAGCTTTCATAAAAGCGCTTTTCCTTTTAACTGACCTGCTTTTTCTGCCTGAATTCTGGGTCCAATTGTCTGAGTCCTGACATCCTCTCTTGAATGCGGACCATTCACCCTTTTCCATGTGCAGAAAAACAACCCCAAAGCACGATGCAAAAACAAAAGCCTCTAGTCGCTTCCTGCAGTTTTTTATTCCTAAATCCTGCATGAAGGGATTTTTTACCATTTTTCTTTGCAAAACAATTCCAGGTTAGTTAAGTTTGATGGTCGCCAAATATGGACAGCCTGCTTCAAATCATCCCATGAATGTTCAATAATATTCAGTTCTTGGGATTTGGATGGCCATTCCAGAACATTGTAATTGTTCCTCTGCACGAATACCTGAGTAGATTTGGAGAGGTGTTTTGGGTCATTGACTTGCTGAAATATCCATCCCCAGCATAACTTCAACTGCATAACTGAATCTTCTACATTATTCTCAATCTGCTGATATTGAGTGAAATCCATGCGACCCTCAACTTTAACAAGATTCCCAGGGCCAGCATTGGCAACACAGTCCCAAAGCATGATGGAACCACCATCAATTTTACATTGGATAGCAAGTGTTTTTCTTGGAACGCTGTGGTTTTTTGCCTGCCAAAGACAATGATGGTGAATTTCATCTCCTCCATCACCATCTGGTACACTGATGCCATCGCAAAGGACAAGGGCAGACTGCATCGTGTCATCTGGTCTGCAGAGAAGGTGATTGGCTGCAACCAGTGGTGTGATACGCCTTATACCCACTAGAAAAGCTTGTGAATTTCCGTATAACCACTTAAAAGTGCCCAATAATGCTCCGTTCACATCGGACGCAGCAGGCACAGCGAGTTTACATGCAAAGTCAATGGTTGACGCGCGCGACGCGCCGCAAACGCGTTGCCGCTCGAGATGGAAAATTTGAACTTTTGCTGCTGGTCGCGCCGCATCAACCAATCAGAGAAGCTGATCTGGGAGTTGGCAGGGTGACAGACAGATCGCTGATGACAGAGCGCTTTGATCACTCATCTGAAACAGTTTATTAACTGAAAATGCTGAAATCTGCTGACAAAGCGTGTTTGCTTTTATTATCCTGGTGCCTGCAGTCTGGATTACGTTCATGAAAACCGCTTCCAGCCGGTGAGCTTGACAGCGCACCTCTGGTATATGGGGGTCTGAGCTAGCCTCATGAGACCATCCTGATCTCGCCAGGAAGTATGTGACAACATGGTTAAGAAACCACCGCTTTGCAACAGAAACAAGAAGATAAGTGAAACATAAGGAGCCTCAAAACAAACATGTCTGGAACATTTTATAGACACAGTTTTAACCTGCATAGTACTTCTGTACTTACATGTAGTTCTTGATACTTAAAGCTACAGTGTGTAATTTTCAGTGACATCTAACGTCCAGACTGCAGACCGCAGCAACATTAACATCTCCCCCCCACCGCTTCTCCCCCCCAACAGTACGGCGAGCATTACGGGACAAAATGTCTTCCACGACGTCCGCATCACCTACCTTCTCAAGTGATGAGGTTTGTTTACATAGATAATTTT